GTGGCCCACTCTCCCCCTTCCTGCGTGGCCCACTCTCCTCCTTCCTGCGTGGCCCACTCTCCCACTTTCCTGATGCCCTCTTCTGTCACCATACAGGAGAAACAGTGGTAGTTGCCTTTCAGGCTTGATGTGAGTTTCCTTGGAAACAGTGGATATAAGTTGTCTCGTGCTGTTAGACATGTACTAACACCCAGTGAAGAGCTACTATAAAGGCTTCAATGATCATTGGAGTCCTTGACCACGGATGTCTGACAGGACCCCACAAAACAACTTTTGTTTGAAAGGAAGGTCTTGGGCAGGGCACACTACCTAGGAAAGATCACCCGTATGCAGTCACATGGGCTCTCATACTCAAGATTCTCACAGTCCCAATCTGTCTCACAAAAATCTCATGAAGGGAAGCTGACTTGTGTTCCTTCCATGGTAAAGAGGGGATCTCAGGCCCTCATTACATCTCCATGGCCATGGGCTCACACAGCCTAGCAACGTTGGGGCCAGACCAATCTAAATTGAGCTGGGCGTGTTGGAGATGAAGCTCAGTGCTGAGTACTTGGCAAGCATATGCAAGGTCATGAGTTCAGTCCCTGGCACCACCATGGAAAATAAATAAGAAAGAGAATGGAAGGAGGGAGGGAGGGAGGGAGAGAGAGAGAGAGAGAGAGAGAGAGAGAGGAGAGAGAGAGAGAGAGAGGTAAGGGAGATGTGGGAAGAAGAGAACTCCACAGTCTTGAAGCCTGGAGGTCCTTTTCCTACCCTAGTAGATTTCAACCACCCTGGGGAAATGAGGCAATGCTTGGAGATGATTCTGGTGTCACTATGACACAGGGGGTGCTGCTGGTGTCCTGTGGTCCAGAGAGGCTGTGACACATCCTGCCTTGCAGAACATGCCATGAGATCATGGATCAGCAGCAATGGGGAGCTGAAGCACCTGGCCGACGCTGCCCATCAAGGTGTCCTGACCAGGGGGCTCAGGAGACTGTAAGAGGGACACAGACTCTATTACGGTAGAGGACAGGGACATCCAAACACAGGTTTTACTTCCCAGAACCTAACTTCAGAGGCTGGGTGGTGATGATCAGTTCCGTCCAAACAATGTTGTTGGTGCTATCCGGCATCGTGGTTGGTATTGTTGATCTCACCTAAGATTTCCAGCTTCTTTGCTGGCACACGGGAGGGCTCACCCTACAGAGTTGGGGATGGCTCTGTGTCTTGCTTTGTCCAGTTAGAGGCAAGTCGAGGGAGCATCTGTCACTGCTGGAGATGCTTTACAAGGCAGAACAAACACACCATGGAGGGCATGGGAGGAGAGGAGAGAAAAACACAAGATCAAAAGAGCATGCTACCCTCATCCTGTGGTCCCGAGAAAAGGCAACGCAGAGCAAACCAGCACACTTCTAATGACATGTAGTATGAACAAGAAGCATAACGCATGGGTGTAATACATTGATGAACCTTGGGGGCCAGGAGAACTGGAAACTCTGGACAGCACTGTTCCAGTCCTTGAATATCAGGGTTTCGTGGAGGAACCTTGACTCCCCAGTCACCCGGGGAAACAAGAAGTCCTGGGAACTCAGGAATTCATGATCTCCACACACTGGACAGCATCATCAGAGATGGGACCAACTTGTCCTGGTGACACAAATCCCACCCCACATTTGTTCTATTTTCTTAGCTACTGGGGAATCATCCGGGCTTGTGACCCCTGAAGCAACTTGCTTTGCCAGGTCAGTGAGATGATATTTCCTGTGTTGGGCCTGGGGATGGGAGGGATGAAGTGGACCAGTGGGGGAAGCAGGAAGAGGGCAGGGGAGAGGCGCAGGGGCCAGTGAGGAGAGCTTCAGTGAAGACTCCTCACTTCTGAGGAAGAGGTGGAGCCATACAGCTGTAATCACAACATTCAGCAGACAGCGGATGGAGGATTGCCTGGGCTGTCTTGTGAGTTCTGTGATAGCCTGGGCTACATGGCTGTCATTAAAAAAAATAAAAATAATTAAATTGTATCTTATATTTTCCACAAGTAGGGAAAAACCAAATGGTTGTTATTGTTATTTAAAGTGACATTGTTTTCAAGTGAGTTTTTAACACATCAAATTGAAAAATCATGCGTGTGCTAGAATTTAGGAAGAATCTTAAAAGCACAAAATTCTTTCTTTGTTTTTTAATCAATTTAAAAAATCGTTTATATGTAGAAATGTTTTGCCTACATAAATGTACGTACGCCATGTGCATGCAGTGCCCATGATGACCAGAAGAGGGCGTCAGAACCCCTGGAACTGGAGTACAGTTGGTTGTGAGCTGCCATGTGAGTGCTGAAAGCCAGCCTTCTATGCAAGAGCAGTTAGTACTCTTCACCAAGAGCAGTTAGTACTCTTCACCAAGCAGCCACCTCTCCAGTCTCCAACTGCTTTCCTACAGCTGTGTCTGATAGTGTTGATAAATTCTCAAGCTGATTTTGGAGGGTCTCTCCAGCCCGCAGAAATAGTCTCAAAGTCAGGAAAGACTTCAGGGTACAAACTATCTAGGCAGTAGTATGAAACCCTTGTCAAGGACACAGGAAGTTTGAAGGCTGTTTAAAGCTAGTCTGCCTTCTTAGCTAGGCAAAACTAGGCTGCAAAAACACTGTTCTCAAACAAGCTTCAGAGATTATGGACATAGCTTCTGGAGCATGAAATACATATCATCAAGATTCATAGCTAATGCACACAAAATTCAGGAGAATTCTGTAGGTGGAAATATTACCTGCTTGGATTCTGAGCATCAGGAACCACCCAAAATGAAAAGCAGCCTCTTAGCCCCCAAAGTTTTAAGAGCAGTGAGCTTGTTGGGGTGTTCTAGGGAGGATCATCCAAAGCAGGCCTGCAAGCCTCGGGGCAAGTCATTTGGATCTCAAGTTCAAGATTCTCACATTCCCAGTCTGTCTCACAAAATCCCATAAAGGGACGATGACTCACGTTCCTTCTACATTAAAGGGGATCTCAGGCCCTTGTTACATCTCCATCAGCTGCCATCGTTACATCTCACACAGCCTGTCAGGGTCAGAGACAGAACAATCTAATTGGAAGCAGGGGTGTTGGGGGATGAAACCCAGGTGTTTGTTTAGCAGTCCTGGAGATCCTACCTATGACCTCACGCATTGTGAGGTCAGCACTCTACCACTGAGCTGTGTATCCAGCCCTCTCTCTACTTCTTAGCATGAGATAGGGTCTCACTAAGTTGCCCAGGCTGGTCTCAAGCTTACAACTCTTCCTCAGTCTCATGCATAAGGAGGATTATTGTCCCAGACCTCAAGGCCCAGCAAAAGCCAATTCCTGTGAAGAGAGAAGGACCCCAAAGAGGGCAGATTGAAGAGCACCAGAACTGAGGTAAAAGCTGAAAATAAAATGGTCATGGACTTCTAGAAAGAACTGGGTCCGAGGAGGGTGTGCCCACACGGAAGTGCTGTGAGGCAGTGAGTGGGCTGAGCATCACACCGTCTCCCTGACGGGAGGAAGTGTCTACCAGGGCTCCTCTACTGTGTTTCTGCATGGTGTCTTGGGTGCATGGCCTCAGACAGCTGCTCCTCTGACTTTGCAAACTTCCAAAGAATTTTTTCTAAGGAGCTCCATGCTTAGCTCCCTCTGGCCCCAGTATTATCACAGTGCCTGACTGGGCGGAGACATTGCATTCTGGGAGCAGAAGGGATAGCATTGCATTGAGCGCAGGAAGACTATGGCGGCTGTTTCTGAGGATGGCTGTAAAGTTCTCTCAGTCTCAGGCTCTTCTTATAACATGAGTTAGGCCCCCTCTCCCACCTAGAGATAGGCACCCGAGGACCCTGAGATGTGTGGTTCTGCAGTTTCAGAAACCTTGAACTTTGCCCCCACCCCAGGACTACTCCCGCTGCTGAGGATTCACATTGATGAGAACCTTAGTGCCCAGTGTGCCTGACGGTAGGAAGTCCCACGAGAGAATGAGACCACCCTGAATGCTGTATGTCCACACAATGAAAGCTGGTGATTGCATGACCACTAGGCTGGGCGAGGGAACTGCTTTCACAGCATTGGATGCCAGCAGCAGGGGATGGTGCAGGTGCCTTCTTGGCCTGCACAAGACGAAACTGCTCTCAACTTACTCCAAGTCAAAGCTGGCTGTCAAAGCCCCGCACCCCATCAAAAGCATCCCTTCCTGACATGCATTGCAGCACCTTCCAACGTGTGTGCTGAGAACTCACCAAGGAGCCGGGCACCGCCTCTGAGGCTGAGAGCACTTTGTCTGCCAGGTTGAAACCTCATTTCTTTAACATGGAGAAAAAATGAGGAGCTGAGGACAAGTGGGAAGGAGGCAAACCTGGTCTGCTCCCCTTTCCAGATTCCCGGTGGCGGCGGTGGGGTGTGTGTGTGCTTTTATTATGCTAATTTTTCATTTTAGTTGCCTCTTACTGATGATTGACGGTACAGTGCCATATGTAGCCTTCAATGAAGACTTTCTTGAAATTCCCACTTTGCAGGTAGCAAAACTGAGACTCCCTGCGTTGAAGTCACTCAAGGAGGAAGTGGGGTTCTGGAAAAGGAAATTCAGAACTCGGTGCTTCTGCATTCAGAAGCAAGCTATTCACTTCCGGTTCCTGTCCTGCCTCCTTTGGGACGGGTGTGCGGTGCTTACTAAGCTCTTTTGAAAAATCCAGTGACAGCAGGTGAACTGCTCTGCAGGAGGCGGTACTAGGACGACAGCAGGAAGTAGAGAAATACGTTTTTAGAGAGAAAAAGCAAAACCCAGTTGGGGCTGAGTTTGCATTTGACCTGTGCTAGGAAGCAGTTGCTTGGTTTAGCAAGGAGGCATCTGAGGCTTGCAGACGCCAAGTACCTCGCCCAGGGCCACACAACCAATGAATGACCAGCAGAGAGGTTCAAATCCAGTTCCAAGCCCACCTTTGAAGGGATGCCGCTGCGTGAGTATCTATGATTTTGGACAAGATATGGTTTCTAAGGCTGGTGCTCAGAGCTCTTAGCAGCTGTGTCTGGCCCGCCCACAGTTTGAGTCAGCAGATAAAGTTGGCCTGCACATTAAAAGCAGCTCTTTGGAAAGGAAAGGTGTGCCATCTTGCAGTCTTGAACCCATCTGGGACAGCACACTTGACAGGATGCCCAGCAATCTCCCTGGCCTTGTTTCAATCCTTCCGCACCCCTCCCCCACCCCCGCAACCGATTCACGTCCCATGACACAATATTCCAATATTCAATGTTTGTAAGAGGACAATAGACATCCCTACCCGCAGGAGAGCTGCAGTTCTGGGAAGAGAAAGGCCATACATGCATAGGTTTCTCCTAAATAAACGCTTCTGTTTTCTAAATTTAGAAACAAGCCAGAGATTGTTTGGAGAAGGAAAACAACGAATTCCCCACCAACCTCCAGTTTCTATTTATTAAAGCCTGAGTGAATTCATCTGGGGTGAATCTCAACAAATACTTACTTGGCCACCCCTCCCCCACCAGGAGGTCAAGGCATAGCTTAAAGGGTATTTAGAACCACTTGACCATGAAGCCCACCAGCCTTCCCCCCACTCCCGGATGACCCCAGCAGCCCTTACCCAGGATTCCCCACGCCAGCCCAGCTCCAACATGCCTGTTAGAAATGAGAGACATCGTCTGTTAGACACAAGCCACAAAAGCTGTGAGACATACTTTCGCTCTTACTGGTAGCAATTAATGTGTAACGAGTCATTGCCAAAGTAAGTTGCTTATTTCAAAGCAACTCAAAGGGGCTATTTCCTTTTGTAGCCCATTCATTAAGACGTTGAGTCACTTGGTAGCAGCAATTGAAACCCTGTTGAGGAATGACCACTCGCCCAGCTTGAGCTGAGCTCCTGGGACTCTGAGGTTATTCCCTCCCTGGCCATTCGAGGAGAGCTGGAGAATATCTTATTTTGATATTTCCCTCCAAGGCAGGAGCTTGTGTGGGAGAAGGGAGTAAAATCACAAGTTAGAATTGGTATCGCTGGCAAGAGCTTGTAAGGTCACCCCAGTGTCATCCACCCTCACAAATGACAGTTCCAAAACAAATAGCCCTTCGAAAAGGGAAAATGCCGGTTGTCGTCTTGTCAAACACAAAGCTAACCATTGTGTCTTGTATGAACACCCTGTGGTTTCCACCAATTTTGCAAAGCACATTTCCCCTTGGGCAGGGCTTGTCAGGTTCCCCCCCTCACCCCCACCCCATGACATCCTTCCATTGACATACCCTCAGCCCCAAGGGAGGAGAAATCCACCCAGATATTTGTAGCTCTGAAATTTCATTTGCGTCATCTGTGTCCAAGATGGGTCATTATTCTAGACTCAAACCACATCCTGCAAAATGAAAACAGTGAGGGGACCTTTGACCAGAAGCTGGAGAGGAGGTGGGACAAAGCAAGGGACAGGGGAACAGGGAGGAGCGAGGTGTTAAAAGCCTCAGGGGCTCTGGAGTCCAGAAACAAACTCCCTGTGGCGCAATGTAATGATGACCTCTTCTTGGCTAAGTGCGGTACCCTGGAGACTACTATAAGTAACTTATAATAGAAATTTTATTAGCGGCAGTAATTTTTTATGATAATTAGAGTAATCAGCAGCCCATAAAATCCGAAGATATATAGTTATATCTTTTATAAGGAAAAGTGTCTCTCCTAACTATAGAAAGACCGTAAATGGCCAAAGCAGCTTTATGGGCAGTCCTGGCTTTTATGCCGGCTGTTTGGTGTTCCCTTCCTTATTAACACTCTTCATTGCTTTGGCAGTAAACATTTGATGACAAATTCAAAGTGTGCTCAATGAGAGCCAACGCTGCAGATGTGGCTGCAAGAGCCCTCTGCCCCCTCTCCCCTCCCGCTTTCCCTTC